ACGGGGAGAACTCCTCGTTCGAGGGTGCCCACGTGGAGAAGGTCCGGGTAGCGGATGCTGGAGGGGCCGGGAGAAGGGATTGGACTGGGGGCACTGGCATGAGGGGAATGGTGTTGGGGGTTTGAGAAGTGCTGAGGGGGAACTGGGCGGGGATGGGGTAAAGCGGTGAGAGGGCACACAGAGGACGGACGGGCACGGGAGTCGCAGGTGGGGTTCAGTGGCGGTGGTGGTTTCGCGGGTCCGAGAAGGAGGTGAGGAGCTGTGCAGGGATTGGGGGTACGGGGTCACAGGGGGCTGTGGGCAAATGGGTTTCGAGAGATTGAGGAGATTGAGGCGGTCTGTGGTGTTGGGGCTCCGGGAAGACGCCGGAGTGGTGGTGAGGAGCTGGGCAGGAATAGAACTGTGTGGGTATGGCGGGGTGAAATAAATAAATGGGTACGGGTGGCTGAGAGAGAGTCGGGGGGGAGCTCGGTGTCGGTGTTTGGGGTGAAGGGCTGGCGGTGTGGGGGCTCGGTGGGGAGAGCTGGGCAGGGACGGGGGAAGGGGCGCGGTGCGGTGGGCACTGCGTTTGGGGATTGAGCAGGGGCAGCGGGGTGACTGGGGAGAGCCGGGCAGGAGTAGAAGTGAAGGGCGGGGAGGTGATGTAGAGAACAGACGGGTATAGAGAGGGAGGCTGGTCAGTGGCGGAGTGTTTGGGGCTGGGAAGAGCTGGGGTGTGGGCAGGGGGATGCACAGGGATAGAGAGTAAGGAGGGAGAGGAGTGTAGTGCAGAGGCCAAATGAGTGAGGAAGTGACTCAGGAGGTGGGGTTCAGTGGGGTGGTGGTGTTGAGGGTTTAGGGGACACCGTGCGTGGAGAGGGGCTGGGCAGAGAAGGAGGTGTGAGGAGGAGGGGTGCAGAGGACAAGTCGAGGTATGAGGGGGACTGAGAGAGAGGGCTCTATGGGGGGGTTTGGGGGTCTGCAGAAGTGCTGGGATTGTGGGGGTGAACTAGGCAGGGATTGGGGTACAGGGAGGGCATTGTAAAGGAGGCTGTGGACAAATGGGTATGGGGAGGGCCAGAGGGGGGTGGCTGAACATGGGGAGTGGTGAAGTGGGTCTGGGTTGTAGGAGAAGTGTATGTGTGGGGCTGTGGAGGTGTGAGCTGGGTTGGGATGGGGGGAGGTTGAGGGAAGCTGTGTGAGTGAGGGTCCATGGGGAGAAGGGTGAGGGAATGCTCGGACAAAATAGCCCTTTGTGGGAAGCCCTGGAGGCACCCAGAACTTTGGAGGAACAGGTTGTTGGAATGGGGTGGCCAGGGATGGAGGTGGGGGAGTGGGCCTGAATGGGTTATAGGGGCTGAGTGGAGCAGGAGAGACCCACATGCACACCCCTTCATTGGCCTTATGGTTGGAGGGAGGCTTTATTCCCCACTCCAGGGTGGATGAGAGAGGAGTGGAGACGTGCAGAAAGCTCTGGCATGGGAGTGAGCCCCCTGCACCAGTGGAGAAGACTCCCCTGCCACCAGGCCTCATCCCTGTGGGAGCACCCTTACAGCATAGGCTTGTTTGGGGCATTGTTTCCTGCCCTGGTCTCCTGGTCAGAGCCCAGAGGGGGTATTAGGTGTGGAGCTGGGCTCTGAGGTGCCAGCAGCTGGTCTCAGCCCTGCTCCGTGTCCTTCCCTCAGCATTCCCAGCAGCTGAAGCGTGCTGCACGGCTGGCCCCAGCTCCGTGCCGCTGGAACTCCGGGCTGCCCATGAACATCGGGGTGCTCTTTGTGCCACAGCAGGAGGCCTGGGTGGTGGAGAGGATGGGCAAGTTCCACCGAATCCTCGAGCCTGTAAGGAGCAGCTTTTCTCCCCTTCTGGATTCAGCAGGTTCCTAAAGCTGTAGTGAGGCGCGTCCTTTGCACGAGGATCCAAGAGGGGTGGTGGGCTCAGTTTCCCGGGCCGAAATCCTTTTGGCTGCCTGTGGAGTAATTTTCCTTGGTGGGGTGTTAAAAGCACTGAGTAACTGAAATTCCTTGTGTGTAAAACATGTTTGCAGTGTGTGGCATGGGCTTTGTTTGCATGACTCTCTCTACTCTATCAGCCATCTAATCCCACCCTTTTCCAGGGTCTGAACTTCCTCATCCCTCTCCTGGATCGGATTCGCTATGTCCAGAGTCTCAAAGAAATCGTCATTAATGTCCCAGAGCAGTCAGCTGTCACACTGGGTGAGGAACAGCTTCCGTGTCCTGCCCCTTCCCTTCTGCTGCATCTGGGGTGAGCAAGGGACAATGAGGATGAGTGGAATTGTCCCAAGCTCCTGCACTCAGCCCTGTCCCTTGGCCATAAAATCACAAGATCACTGAATGATTTGGGTTAGAAAGGACTTTTAAATTTGTCTCGTTCCAGCCCCCATACCATGGACAGGGGACACATTCCACTCGGCTGGGCTGCTCAAAGCCCTGTCCAGCCTGGCCTTGAACACTTCCAGGGATGCGGTATCCACAGCTTCTCTGGGCAGCTTACTTCAGTGCATCACCACCCTCACAGTAAAGAACTTTGTCCTAACATCTACTCTAAGTCTGTCCTCCATTATCTTAAGGCCATTCCCCCTTGTTCCATTCCTCCATATCCATGTGAAAAGGCCCTCTCCAGCCCTCTTTAGGTACTGGAAGGCTGTTGCTGTGAGTGGGGGCAGCCTAGGAAGTTCCATCTGCTCTCTCTGGGCTGCAGCTGCCCCTTCTTCCTGAGTTGAATGCACCTTACCAGAAATTTTTCAGGTGTTTTTCTGTATTGAACCACAAAAGAAAATTCTGTTTCTGTTAAAACCATTTTAGAACAGGTTAGTGGATGTGATGTTAATGGACAGCTCTGTTATATTTCCAGTTTTAAGTGGTTTATTTTGGTTTTTTCCTCCTTAAGTCTTTATTTACAAGAGCTACAGTGTGAAATTCTGTTGGGAAAATCAAGACCTGTTGTGTATTAAAACATCACAGTGTTGTCCAGGGAACGTAAGGTCCTTTTTGCAAAGCCTTTAGATAAGAAGATCTATTTCAGCCAATCCTCTTCAGTGCCCTGCAGCTCTGTCAGGGTGAAAAAGGATGAGCCTGCCCAGCTGTGCTGTGGAAGAGGGGGTTTCTGTGTCTTATTTGTGCTGCTTCAGTCAACAGGTTCTGTTGTTCTCTCCTGACAGATAACGTCACCCTGCAGATCGATGGTGTGCTCTACTTGCGGGTTATGGATCCCTACAAGGTACCATCCCTGCCCCTTGGGCACCTTTCTCTTGGCTCTGCCCACTCCCTGCTTCCCAAAATGTGTGCTCCAGCCCTCTGTGTCCTGCCTGGCAGGTGGGCTGAGCACTCTGACTCTTCCCAAGGCTCCAGACTCCGTGTTTTCAGCAGGGGTGTCTGGCAGGTTTCTTGCTTTAGCGCTGTTTGTTTCTCCTGTCTTGTTCAGCGTCCCTCTTGGCATCCCTACCCACTCTGTTTTGTGCTTCTGCTCTTCAGGCCAGCTATGGGGTGGAAGATCCTGAGTACGCAGTGACCCAGCTGGCCCAGACTACCATGAGATCTGAACTTGGCAAGCTTTCCCTTGACAGAGTCTTCCGGGTGAGCCGGGGAGACAGTGTCTCCCAAAATCCCAGGACAGCCTGCATGGCCGGGCTGATGTGCTTAACATCAAAATGCCCTTTGCTTAGAGAGCTTATGGCTTCTGTTTCAGTTGACCTATTGGTGAATCCTTGGAGATGGGTCTTCTTTCAGTTGTTTTTTTAACAGGAGCTATTTTTTGCCCTGCCCTGGGTTATTTGGAGGGGATGATGGGTGGTATGTGTCCAGACCCAGCTGGTCCAGCTGCCTTTCTTGAGTCAGTGACTCTTTACTCAGCCCCAGTGATGAATATCCCTGACCTGTGTCAAGGGGTACTGTAATCCTTGTACTACACTTGCTGGGAAGAAACTGGAGTTAGTGGCATTCTCTTTTATCCAGATGTACACCAAATGTTGTATCCTAGAGGCTTCAGTGTGGAGCGCTGCTCTCCCTAGGGATGGTGACCCCTTCCACAGCTCCTGGAAGCAGCTAACGCTTCCTGAAACCTGTGGAGGTGTTTTTTTTTTCTGGCAGAGCTTGGCCTCTGAGGGAGGTGTCTGTTTCCTTCCTGACACCTCTCTCATGCTCTCTGCCATTTCTTTTGTGCCATCCAGGAGCGGGAGTCCCTCAATGCCAGCATCGTGGATGCCATCAACCAGGCTTCAGACTGCTGGGGCATCCGGTGTCTGCGCTACGAGATCAAGGACATTCATGTGCCCCCACGTGTGAAGGAGTCCATGCAGATGCAGGTGAGGCTCTCTGGGAGAGAGGTCTGGAACAAGAGGGAAGCCTCCTCTTCCATGTTGCATTACAGAATCACAGAATCAGTAATGTTGGAAAATACTTCAGATCATCAAGTCCACCCTATGATCAAACGCTACCTTGTCAACCAGACCATGGCATCAAGTGCAGTGTCCAGTCTTTGCTTAAACATCTCCATGAACAGTATCACTGCCACTTCTCTGGTAGCCCATTCCAGTGTCTAATCACCCTTTCTGTGAAGAAGTTCTTCCTAATGTCCAACCTAAACCTCCCCTTGTGTGCCTTGAGAGTATGTCCTCTCATCCTGTTGCTGACTACCTGGGAGAAGAGGCCACCCCCTGTGTGACTGTAACCTCCTTCCAGGTAGTTGTAGAGAGTGATAAGGTCTCCTCTCAGGACCTTGTCTCCTCTTGTCCAGACTAAACAACCCCAGCTCTCTCAATGGCTCCTCATCAGACTTGTGCTCCAAATCTTCCCCAGTTCCATTGCTCTTCTGTGGATGCTCCAGCACCTCAATGTCCCTCTTGAGGTGCCTAGAACTGGACACAGGACTCAAAGCGTGGCCTCACCAGTGCTGAGTACAAGGACATTATCACATTCCTGGTCCTGCTGGCCACACTATTGCTGATACAGGCTATGGTTTATTATTGTTACCTGTCCAGAGCTGGCAGCACCCAGCCCTTACATCAGGAGGGCACTTTGGCTGCAGACATACAGCTGCTGATTAAGTAACTCCTGTCATAATTTTTGTAGTAGTGGCACCTGCCTGCCACATAACAAGCCCTGCCAGGTCCCTTTAAAATCCCTACTGGGCGCTGTGGAGAAGCAAATCTCAGAGCTGAAGTTCTCCCCTTGAGAAAAGCTGGACCTAGATATTTGGGCTGGAAAAGGAGGAGGGGGAAGTAACTTAGGTGGGAATGGGGTTTGGAAGGGCTGTGTGGCATGAGGAGCAGAACCAACCTTACCCGAGACCACACTGTGTTCTGTAGCTGTATTTTCATGCTTTGCTAAGCCATGCTTCCCCCAGCAGAACAGAGGAGCATGTCCTTGCCCCACAGATGGGATTTCCCCAGGACAGCCATGGCAGGCTGGTGTCTGACCTGTGTTCCCAGGTGGAAGCAGAACGACGGAAGCGAGCAACAGTGCTGGAGTCAGAGGGGACAAGGGAATCAGCTATCAATGTGGCTGAAGGCCAGAAGCAGGCCCAGATCTTGGCATCAGAAGCTGAGAAGGCCGAACAAATCAACAAAGCTGCTGGTACTGCCTGGGGCTAAAGCGTGGGTTTCTGTAGCCCTCTAGACTGAGGGGTGGTGCTACAGGGGAGAGAATGTGTTACTGTGAGCCAGGCTTCCTCAGCCTCTCTGATCCTTCCCTGCTGGGGCCTCAGGCTCAGCTCCAGTTGATGTTGCTACCCTGGCAGTGCTGCTGTTGGGGAAAAGACAACCATGCATGCATTGAAATTGTCTTGATTCACTCCCTGAAATGGTAGGGATTCGGTCCTTGCAAGTGCTTTCTTGTGACTGATGTGCACCCTGCTGTGGTTCATTGCAGGAGAAGCCAACGCCATGCTGGTCAAGGCCAGAGCCAAGGCAGAGGCAATTCAGCTCCTAGCAGCTGCTCTGGCACAGCAGGTGAGTATGGCTACCTGGAGCAGCCGCTGCTTTGGTGCTGGCAGTGGGGGAGGTCAAACTGCGCGCAGGGTGGCACCTGGCTTTCTCCTGGACACTCCCTGGCACCTTCGGCAGCAGCAGAGAGTGAGGGGCTTTGCTGGACTGGCGTGGGCTGGGGACGCAGGCAGGGATGAGCTGTTGGTGGCATGTGACTTGTCTCTGTGTCCCCAGCACGGCAATGCTGCTGCCTCCCTGTCTGTGGCGGAGCAGTACGTGAACGCTTTCTCCAAGATTGCCAAAGACTCCAACACCGTTCTGCTGCCCGCCAACACCGGCGATGTCACCAACATGGTCGCACAGGTCAGTGCAGCCCACGTGTCCTGGGCTGCACCCAGAGCCCCGTGGGCAGCAGGGCAGGGTGGGGATTCTGCCCCTCTGCTCTGCTCTGCTGAGACCCACCTGGAGCACTGCATCCAGCCCTGGGCTCCCAGCACAGGAGGGACAGGAACCTGCTGGAGCCAGCACAGAGGAGACCATCAAGATGATCAGAGGGATGGAACAGCTCTGCTGTGAGGAAAGGCTGAGGGAATTTGGATTGTTCAGCCTGGGGAAGAGAAGGCTCCAGAGAGACATTGTAATACTTTCCAGTACCTAGAAGGGGCTCTCAAGGAAGGTGCAGAGATGCTTTAGACGATAGGATGAGGAATGGCTTTAAACTGAATTAGTAGGTTGAGATTAGATTTTAGAAAGAAATTCTTCCCTATGAGGATAATGAGGCCCTGGCAAGGTTGCCCAGAGAAACTGTGGATGCCCTGTCCTGGAAAGTGTTCTGATCAGGTGGAAAGAGGCTCTCAGCAACCTGCTCCAGTGTGGGGTGTGGAGGAGTGTGAAAAAGGATCTTTAAAGGCCCCTTCCAGCCCAAACTCTTCTTGCTCTCACCCAAGTGAATCTTGCTCCAGGGAGGTGAAGAGGGCACCATGCTGCGGCCTGGCCCCCTCTTTTCCTTCCCTCCTTATGACTCTGTAATTCCCTCCAGGCCCTGGGGATCTACACCACACTGACCAAGCCACAAGCTGTGAAGACCCAAGATGAGATGCCTCCAGCCCACGAGGACTCCCACTCTTCTGCCACAGAGGTGCTGAAGGCAGAACAGGGCAGCTCCAGCTAACAGGGCTGGAAGGATCTCATACCCTCTCCTGAGGCCTGCCAGCAGTCCTGTTCTGCTGCAGGCAGCCGCTCTTGTTCCCTTAGTCCCTATTTTGTATTGGATTTAAATCATGTAATAAATGGTAACAGTGCTGCTGCAGCATGTTCTCTTGTGCTTGGGTGCCTGACCCCAGCATTCGATCCCAAAGGGGGATCATCCCTCCTCAACAGGCTCCTGCTGGGATCTCCCATGGACATGCAGTGACATACAAGAGTGAAAAATTAGATATAATGAAAAAATTCTTCCTGTGAGGGTGGTGAGGCACTGGCACAGGTTGTTCTGGGAAGTTGTGGATCAGGCTCTGAGCAGCCTGGTCACGTTGAGGGTGTCCCTACTCACAGAAAGGGAGTTGGAACTAGATGATCTTTAAGGTACCTTTCCAACCCAAACCATTTTATGATCCTGTGAATTTGAGGACCTCACTCTTAAAAAGGATCTCCCTCCCAGTGCATCACCTCTCTGGGAGTGTGAGCTGCTCTCATCATCCCCTCCTCTGTCAGCTCCCAGAATCTGTCCTACAGTGCGTGACTGTGCGTTCTCCACAGCTCCTCACAGCACAGGGCGGGAAGCGCCTCTGTCGATTAATTAATTACTTGATTAATTAAAACAACACTTTGCCATTGAATGTGCCTCGGCTGCGGGGAGGCGCGCTGGGACATCCTGTCCGCCAGGGGGCGCTGCCGCCCCCACGCCGCTCCTCGCCGTGCCACTCCAGCATGGTCGGCGCCACACGCGGCGCTTCCGGGAGCGACGGGCGCCGGGAGCCGCAGGTGGGACGGGACGGGAGCGGGGTCCGGGGGCTCAAAAAGGGGCTGTGAGGGGCTGGGGGGCCGGGAGGGGAGTCTGGGGCGCGGGGGACACAAGGGTGGCGCGAGTGTGAAGTGGCGGACCGGGAGTCGGGGGTGCAGGGGAGGGACTGGGGGTGTGTGAAGGGGAATGGGGATGTGTGAAGGGGAATGGAGTGTCGGGAAGGGGATGGGGATACCGGCGAAGGGCAAGGGGTGTCGAGAGGATGCTGGGCAGTCGGGAGGGAGCAGGACTCGGCTCCCGTTCAGGAGGGGATACAAGGAAGTGCGTGGGGCAGTTGCCGGACACGGAGTGCGACCAAGTAAAGTCAAGGCAGGCTGATCGGGATTACTCCGAGACAGGCGGGTGTGGGAGGTGCTGGGCCAGGGATGGGTGCTGGTAGGGAGGGAGCGGTGCCGGGCCAGGGTTGGGCGCTGGTAGGGAGGGAGCGGTGCCGGGCCAGGGTTGGGCGCTGGTAGGTGCGTGCCCAGGTAGAGCCGCTGGGGACTGAGCCTGCCTATCCTTCCCTCTAGGATGCAGCGGTGGCCAGTGGTGCTTTTCCTGGCCTGGGTTTGCTTTCTCTTTTTTGCTGGTATCGGGCTCTTCATGAGCGGCTTCCTGCTCACCCGGATCGAGCTTGCCAGCAGCAGTTCCTGCTCAGACCCACTCGTGCCTCCACTTTGGGAGAGGCAGAGCCTCCCGCCAGGCTCCTGCTGGGCTCCTCAACGCTTTTCCAAGGCCGTGCTCGTCATCATCGATGCCCTCCATTTTGAGTTTGCCCGCTTTGACCCTGCCAAGGCCAGCCCGCTGCCCTACGAGAACAAGCTGGGTGTGCTGCACCAGCTGGCCACCTCCCAGCCCCGCCATGCCCGGCTCTACCGCTTCCGAGCCGACCCCCCCACGGCCACCATGCAGCGCATCAAGGGCCTCACCACCGGCTCCCTGCCCACCTTCATCGACGTGGGCAGCAACTTTGCCTCCTACGCCATCCAGGAGGACAACCTGCTGGCACAGCTGGTGCAAAACGGTGAGTTCCTGGCCTTTAGCTCAGGCAGGGGAGCTTCAGGCTGGATATAAAAACACTTTTTTTCACAGGCATAGGAATAGGTTGCCCAGGGAGATGGTGGAGTCACCATCCCTGGAGGTGCTTAAGAGGCTTTTATACCTTGTGCTGGACGGTGTGGTTTAGGGTTTATAGTGGTGGGTGTATAATTGGATTGGATGGTTTTGAAGGTCTCTTTCAACATTGATGATTCTGTGACTGGGGCTGTTTGGCCTGAAGAAGAGAAGGTTGTGTTGCAGCCTCATAGCAGGCTTCCAGTCCCTGAAGGGGGCCTACAGAGAAGCTAGAAATGAATTTTTTGTCAGGAACTGTAGTGATAGAATGAAGAACAATGGGTACAAATTGACAGAGAGGAACTGTAGTGATAGAATGAAGAACAATGGGTATAAATTGACAGAGAAGTTTAAGTTAGATATTAAAAAGTATTTCTTTACTGTGAGGGTGTTGACACACTGGAACAGGATTCCCAGGAAGGTTGTGGATGGCCCATCCCTGCAGTGTTCAAGGCCACACTGAATAAAGCTTTGACAACCTGATCTAGTGGGAAGTGTTCCTGCCCATGGGAGGGGGCTTGAAACTGGATGATCTTTAAGGTTCCTTCCAACCTCTTAACATGCTGTGACTGTGGGCAGGGCAGCAGCCCTCTGGAACAGGGCACGTGCAAACGTCTGTTCAGTTTAACTTGTATTCCAAACATTGATTAGTTTCTCCCTGGGAAGGGCATTCCTTACAACAGATCCCCCCTGTGAGCTGATTCTTTCTCCCTGCTTAATGACAGTTACCTCAGGCAGCATCAGGCAGGCAGGCAGGGCATTGCCAACTTGCTTTGGGAGTGAGAAGTAGCTGTGACCGTGACTTCATCTTCATCATGTTCAAAGATGATGAGAAAGCAGGTGAAAGTGGCTGCACTGGTGGTGTTTGTCCCAAGGTCACCCCCAGGAATGCAAAGGTTGTGCTGTGTGAGGCACGTGACAGGGGAGGAGCCAGGTGGTGCCAGGTGTGCCAGGTGGTGCTGTGGGGGTGTCCCTCAGGCAGCCAGCCTGCCTGGACAGCTGCCTGCAGCCGTGAGGCAGCAACCTCATCCCATTTTCATCGTGGTTTGGTGCTGCTGGGGGTGCTCAGTGCAGCTGTAAAGGGCTTGTTATGGTGGGATAATGGAGTAGAGGGGAGAGGACAGGCCACAGTGGTTCGTTACCTGGAGAGACTTCCTCCCAGGGCTCAGAGTGGGCTAAGGCAATGTGATTTTGTGTGGGCAAGGTGGGCAAATGCAGTGGATCATCTGAGGCAGAATGATGATCACAGCATATCCTGTGGCAGAGTAGCAGTCTCAGAGAAAAAGGTTCCTTGCTCCCAGGCTGAAGATGCTCTGTGGAAACAGAGCTGGCTGATGGCAGGCAGGGCAAGGAGAGCAAGCACAGAGGGAAGCATCAATGCTTTTGCCTTCTCTTTTCCATGTCTGGAACACCATCACCATTGTGTTTAAAAGCCAGAGCTCAGGACTACATCTTCTACTCCATCACCTGCTGCCTTGCGTTTCGCAGTGGGGTCACAGGCCTTGGGTGAGGCTTTGTCTGCTTCAGGCTGCACCCTGTGCACCCAGATGTGTTCAGGGGTCACCCTGTGCACCCAGCTGTGTTGTGGTGGCCCAGGAGTCTTTCTGCAGGGGTGATGGGTCAGGTCAGCAATAAGTCCTGAAGTTATGCAGTGGCTTTGGTGTGGGGGCACTTACTGGCTTACAGATACTCATGCGCTGGTCCCTCCCTGTATTCAAAGTAATTTACAGACAGATGGTCTTCTTTTAGTGAAAATTTTGATTTTGAGTGTGGGTTGGAGAGGAGCAATTGCTCCAGATCCTGACCTGGATCTGCTCAGGATCTTTGTATTGTTGTGGTTACAGCACAACCCAGGAGGGCTTCATCGCTCACTGGTTCCTTTCTCTCTGGCTCAGGAAGGAGAGTGGTCTTCATGGGTGATGACACGTGGGAAGGACTCTTCCCAAAGAAGTTCTTCCGTTCCTATTTCTTCCCTTCTTTTAACGTGAAGGATCTTCACACTGTGGATGATGGGATCCTGCAGCATCTCTACCCAACTGGTAAGTAGCTCTTTCACCATGGCATGTGTAAACCTTGACCTAATGTTTAGTCCTACTGCAAATTCAAGGTAGGGCTGGAGGATTTTTTCTGTTACAAAGAAGCACTGGGCAGTTACACACTGCTGCCCTAGGATTACAGTGCTCTAGCTGGATTTCCACAGATAAGCTGGTTCTTGGAGCCCACAGACCATTTCTGTAGATGCCTTTCCTCTGTCTGGGACAGAATTCAGCTTTTTGGGATGAGGTTAGACTTCTACGTCTGTCTTACAAAATACACTGGCAGGATGGAGGCAGGGGAGCACCTTACCTTTGCCATGTGGCTGCCTAGGCAGGCACACAATACTCTGGGCAAAAGACAAGTTAGGGGCCTGAGACACAGCACTGCTCTCAGCAAAGCATTGGTGCTTCCTAGTCATGGGAAGAAGATGAAGCCTGAGGTAGGTGTTTTCCACCTCCCTGAGGCGCTGGGGCCAAGGGACATGCTCTTTCGTTTTTCTGTGTCTGAACATATGCACATCAGGGGTGCAGTGGCCTTTCACAGGAAAGCCTGTGTGCCTTGTGTGAGATCTACAAGTCATAATTTAACTTTAAATATGTTGGTTTTCATGTGTCAAGACCCTGAAGCAGAGGGGAGAGTCCAGGGTAACTTTCTAACTAGGGACTGTGTTGGTGTGTCATGCCCATGTCCTCAGATGCAGAGGGGCACAGTGATGGGTTGAACCTAAAATATCTCCAGGGAAGGATGGGAGTTCTGGGTTCTCCTTTTTCTGAGCATTCCTTTGTTTCAGCTTAGTCTTGAGGTAAGTTCAAGATGACTTGGGTGACATTATACTGTTCCCTTCCTGAGGGATGGGGAGAAAACGCCAGGGATCCTGGGATGTTTGCAAGGCTTTGAGGTCCCTGTGCCGTTGCACCCAGGAACCTCTGGCCAAGAATATGCCTTATTTAAAACCTGCATCCATTTCCTCAAGAGCTGGCAGTGACAGTGGCAGGAGGTGAAGAACCGCAATATCCTGAGGCAACTGGGAAATTCTGGCAGGAGGATCCAGTCTCAGAATTCCAGGCTGGTGCATGATAAGTTTGCTTTTGTTTTGCAGTGGACAGCGGTGAGTGGGATGTGCTGATTGCTCACTTCCTTGGCGTGGACCACTGTGGGCA